AAAGCTGCCGACTTATCAGAATTTGATAAAGGACAAATTGTGATGGCACGGCGCTTCAGAACTTGGATCTTGGAAATGGCAGTCACCAGCAGCTACAAAAATTGTGACCAGGGCAATGTATCACAGTTCATTGCAGTCTTCTGCATATGGGCCTGTGTAGCCGACGACCCAGCCAGGTCCCCATACTAACTGTCAAGCGATTAGTCAACAGAAGAGACAGACGGCTGCACGTGAGTGTCCTGCAAAAAGTATCTCTCTTTATTTATTCCTTCTCTTTCTAGCTTGTACTTATTTGAACAATGTCTAAGAACTTGGTATTACAACCACTTCTTGTGTCTGTTTGCCTCTTTAAGAAGAATCGCTTTATGTATCCCCCAATTGTAAGTCGCTTTGGATAAAAGCGTCTGCTAAATGACTAAATGTAAATGTAAATGTAAATGTAAACTGCACACCATCGCCAACAATGCATGAAATGGGCCCAAGATCATTGAGATTGGACCGTTGATGATTGGTAGAAAGATTCAAGATTCCTGGTGCATCACGTCGATGGCCAAGCGCACATACGTGGATTACCAACAGAGGCTATTAGGGCTGGGTTTTGACACAAATTTCATGATTCAATTCTCATTCACAAGCTTGAGATTCGATTTGATTACCAATTCGACTCGATTTGATTCAATATTAATTATTTTGGATATTTATCAGGTACAGTACATGCCAAATTTTCTCAAGAAAAAAAAAATTTCAACTAATGCTGTAAAATATAAATGAGTCAGTTGGTGCTACATTACTACAATATTGAAGGTTAAAATTAACTGATTTGTATACAACCACTTAAATTACACTGAATAATTAAAGTTAAAATTACATAGTATTTCTACTCTTTTTTTATATAAACATTTAAATGACTGTCATAAAAACTTGATGGATTTATTCAAACAAATTCAAACTAAAGATTGAAGTACAAAAATGATAACAAATATATGTAGCATATATTCAAACACTGATTTAGCGATTACATGAGACAGAATACAGATTTTGTTACGTTGTACTCTTTCTTTTAACATACCTTCGGATGTTTATTCATGTTTATTTTGTGCTGAAACTGGTATTGAGGAGGAGTTGATCAGTTCACGCACACTTCCCCCCTGCCACTTCTCGAGCTGAGGCGCTACAGCGATCTGTCACTCTACATTAAACAGCGCCAAAAAGGTATTTATTTTTTATTGAATAATGTAATACTATGGGCAGAATTTGAAGTCAAGAGATTTTGTTTCATATTAAAAGTAACAAAGCACAAAGCTTATTGCGATTTACTGGATAGGAGCTGTGCTACAAAGTTCCGTTTATTAACTGAAAACAGGCTAGACTAATCAATTCTTGGGATTTAAGAATCAATATAGTTTTGTAAAAATAAGAATTTATTAAAATCGAGAAATTTATATTTATTTACCCAGCCCTAGAAGTTATGACACCTGGATGCACTGTGGGGCAGACACAGGCCAGTTATGCTGTGGGCAATGTTTTCTTGGGATAATTTAGGCTTCATTATCCCAATAGCACAATTCCTGACAGCTTGTCAGGTATCTGACCAAGTGCACTCATTCATGGCAACTCTGTTCCCTGCCGGTGATGGCAATTATCTACAGGATAATGCACCATGCCACACTGCCAGGATCCAGAAATGGTTGGAGGAACCTGATAGTGAATTTCTGTTAATGCCTTGGCCTTCAAATTCACCCAATCAAACATTTGTGGTTCGACTTGGAAAAGTGGATTCGCACTACATCACCACCACCCCGCAATGTATAGGAACCGGAGGACTTCCTGTTGACATTATGGTACCAGATACCCCAGGAGACCTATCTATATCTCATCAGATCAATGCCTCGCCACATGGCTGATGTTTTGCGGGCTAAAGGTTATTAGGTAGATGGTCATAATGTAATAGATCAATAGTTCAGCTATATACTTCTGCAGATTGTATTTAGGCTTCAAAATGTAATAAAAGTTGCTTTCATTTGTGAAGTTTTTAATGATGAACCAAATGTGTAAGAATCATACATGTTTGTTGGTCATTGGGATTCTTTTCTGCAATAATCCAAATGGAAAACTATTGGAATTTTGTTGAGGGAACCAGGGGGATGGTAACTTCCAGGTTGGTCTACAAAAAACATTATCACTGCTCTATTTTGTGGAATCAATGCTACAAAATGAAAGAAATCTTCTCAAACCTCATAATTCTCTTTGATCCAGAGCTGCTGCTTGAGGAAAGTCTCTATCAGGCTGTTGTCCAGACTATCAAACTGAGCCTGTGACATCTTCATGTACTTGCGGATAATGTAAAGTCTCTCCTCATCCCCATACTCCTCCCCGTGAATGGTGAAACGGTAAAACCACGAGAAATTCCATGCCACGTAGGTGCACAGATTGTAAGGGAACAGAATGATTTTACAAAGCAGAATATCAGATACATTGGGCTTCTGATAGCCGCCTTTGATGTCTATCTTGTTCTTGATGATGTCTCTGATAATCTGCTCCTCCTCTTCACGGATCTCCTCTTTGGAGCGCCGGTTCTTGCCCTTCTCTTTGGTTTTATTCAGCAGACCTTGCTGCTTGGCCAGTTCAGTAGCCTGGATGCGGTATTTGGGAATGGTCATCAGGTAGTTGATGGCTTCTGTGTAACTACTCCACCAGCTGTAATACTGCAAAGACATAAAAACATCTGTTTATTAAATTGTTAGTTCTGATTCTAACATCTGAATCTATGAGCCATATTCTATACATTAACATGCCACACAATGAGACTGCTTGTTATGGCAGAGTACTTGAACATCAGTTCAAGGACAGATGTTAAAAAGATTGGGATTAGGACTGAAGCTAAAAAGAAATGGCCTACAGTGGGTAAAATAAATTTTTGGGTTAATTATTACTCATAAACCTATTTCTTTATTGAGCATTGCTATCAATCGGTTCCTTGTCTTAATGCTGCTAGCCCTTGTTTGTTCAAAATATTCAATGCTCTTCAGATTCAATTGATTGATATGTACTCAAAAACAGCAACTTTTAATTAATCAGTTCTGAATAAACATCAAAATGGTACAAAACGTGGTGACTTTTATGAAAAAATCGATACAATTTTAAGTACAATCTACAAATCAGCCACAATGAAGTAGTCTTTTTTATAATGTCTAAATATGTATGCATACATATCTAAATGCAATGGGTTATACGGGCATCTAGTGGTTACACCATGGTAATACATGTTTCTTTTTTTGCAATACTTTCACAAACACTGTATGAATTGAAAACAATAGATGGTAATATTGCCTAGTATCATGAAATCTACAAAAATAAATGTTTTTTAATAAAATATATAACATCCATTTTATTGAAAAACATGTTATGCTTATTGTCTTTGGTCTGTTAAGATAAGACCAGAGAAAACACATGTCGGCACAGACATTTCAGAAACACCCAAATAAGCACATCAGCTTGTTGAAGGACTTTATATTTTATATCCATAAATATATACATATCTTTAACACATCTTATCCTAACACAGATCTTAACAGCTTGGAAAAATATGGTATTTTTATTCCAAGTTTAGTGAAAGTCATCAAATTCAGTGTGGAGAGTGTGGTTGGAAGGATTTGATGAAAGCTTCACAGTATCTTAAAGGGCACCTATTATGCAAAATCCACTTTTACATGGTGTTTGGACATAAACCACACAACAATGATAAAAATTCACCCACTCCTTATATTTTAATCCCCATTAAATCAAATCAGTCTCACTAGGCCTGCCGTTTTGATTCTCTATGCAATGTGACATCACATTGCAAAGGGCTGGGCCACAGGGGCTGATTGACAGTACTGCATTGCCATAGTTTCTGCCCTCAACGGTTGTACGCAGTCCTCCATTTTCTCTGCTCTCGAGCAGCTGTAACGTCAACAATGTCTCGTAAGCAATCCCGTTGTTCTGTGTTTGGGTGTAAGACTGAAAAGAAGAGTCTGTATTTTCTCCCAACATCTGAGCCACTGAGGACGCAGCAGATTACTTCTATTTTTCAAGGTAATGCACCTCAAAATCTACCTAAATACGTTTATGTCTGCGCAAATCATTTCACTCCAGACTGCTTTGTGAATGTCATGTCATTATAGTGCTTAGCATTTTAACCATATTTGTGTGCGTACGTTACTGAAGTATTTTAATTGATCAGCGCCGCACTCTCGGCTTCACATATATACGGCTGAAACACCAGTTCTCTTGCACAGTCATGTTGCTTCTACCGGCTGTAGGTAGGTGTGCAAACTAAGCAGAGACAAATATGCGCGATGCCCTCTTCTGGAGACGGGGTGGGAATATGCAGCTCATTTGCATTTAAAATGATACAAACCAAAACAGCTCTTTTTTTAGACACGCCTCAAAAATGACATTTTCCAGATGCTATAATAAATGATCTGTGGGGTATTTTGAGCTGAAACTTATAATTTAATAATTATTAACAGGAACACTAAAACTTCACAGGCATATTCTGGGGACACCCAAGACCAATATTACATTTCGTAAAAAGTGGCATAAATGGTGCCCTTTAAAGGGATAGTTCACCTAAAAATGAAAATTCTGTCATTAATTACTTACCCTCACGTCGTTCCAAACCTGTAAGTCCTTCATTTATCTTCGGAACTTTGAAATTTAAAAAAAAAAAAATGTTAAGTTTGAAATGAAGATATTTTTGATGAAATCCGAGAGCTCTCTGACCCTCCATAGAAAGCAGTGCAACCGAAATATTCCCAGACCCACAAACGTAGCAAGGACGTTGGTAAAATAGTCCATGTGACATTAGTGGTTCAACCGTAATTTTACGAAGCTACAAGAATACTTTGTGCGCAAAGAAAACATAAATAATGACTTTATTCAACAATTCTTCTTTAAGTCTGCCAGCTTTGTCTTAAGCTAGAGACACACTACACGATTTCACTACAGATTTCACTTTATTAAACCTTGGTCACACTAGACTGAGTATGCGAAATTTCCTCGGACACTGCAACAGTCGTGACACCTATATACCTTAAATGTAAAAACATACAATCTACTCCACTGTCCTGCAGTTTTAAATTTGTGTTCTTTTAATTCAACTACAAGGTCATTCTGTGGAATGCAGCAAAATGTGAAACTTTTCGCACGGGATTGCGTTTCTGGTCTGACGCATTCACATGCGTATGAATGGAAGTCAATGGAATGAAAAGTGCAGTGTGACTGCCCCTTTAGGTTAACAGCCAACGTTAATAACACTGCAATCCGACAGTTGACAGAGCAGCTGCAGAGAAATTCAAGGCACTGTAATTTCCTCATTCATTTGACAAAATTATGATGTATAATTAATCTGTATATATAAAATTATTTTATTTACAGGTGTCATTTGTGATTTTTTTAATGAATTTTTGTATGAACATTTGTTTTGAAAAATATCTAATTATCTTCGTATATTCATTATGAAGAAAATTCGATATGAAGAACATTCTTTAAAATCACTGAAATCACTGACATTCTATTTTCTTCAACTGCAGAAAAAAACAATTAGTCTACAACCATTTAACTTGCAATGTTACCTTATGAAATCAAAGAAACCAGATGTGAAATAAACATTTTTTTTTTTTTTTACAAAATGACATTTATGATGAAGGATATTTGACAGAGAGTGCATCTACATTGCATAGTGGCTTATACAATCACTGGCATCAGTTGCAAATATTAGACATGTTTAAAAAAGTCTTTGTGAAAATTACTGACAATGACTGGTTCTTGAATTCTAAGATTAAAATCTTTAGAAATCACACACTATACAACTATTTCTGCTGACTACAAACAGCGACTGGGACAGAAACAGAACAACTGAAACTGAAACGGACCTGGTCCGACTGGGCACGATCAGTCAACAAGACCAAATTACATTCATAATTGGCCTGATAGTCGTGTAGTGTGTTCTCGGCTTTAGAGAGCAGTTCTGAGTTTCAGACTGCAGTAGAAAGATCTTGACATGACTTAGTTCACATAGAAACGGCATTGTCACTTTCATGTTTTTATTAATTTTTTTTTTTTTTAAAGAACATTTTGTTGTGGATCTCAGTAATCGCAAATATTGCTTAGCAATAATTCATTGCATAATAGTGGAGTTTCAGAACAAATCATCCAGTCATGTGGTTCCTGCTAATTTTGCCGCAATATATGTAGGAGGGATTGCACATTTTGTTGGTTTCTCAACTGGTCATCTCAACCGCTTTAAAGGTACTAAAGATGACACAAATGTTAATGACCTTAAAAAAAAAAGTGTGGATCTTGTGACATCCTCATTTAGCATTTGCATCCTTGACAGTAAGATTTCTGAGCACCAACACAAAAGTTTTTTTTTTCTAGAGGTGTTCTGATCAATCTGCCTACAATCATAAATACTAAAATCACAGAGTTCAGAGCTAACAGTAGCTACGTTTTCCATCACCCTGTTTTTATGCACATTTTAAAGTATCACATGAGAAACAAGTGATGGAAATACCCAATTTTGGAAAAAAAATTAAATTCCCTTATATCGCAAAAATGTTTTTATGCTTGCTTAAGGTGGTTTAAGACTTGTTGTGCAAATAATGTGAGATGGAAACGTATTAATAAATTAATCCATGCACATTAAAAAAGTATTTGACTTTGTGCAATGGGACGGCATAACTGGACAAAACAAACGGATCAATCTCAATGCACAGCATCTGAAATGTTACGGTCATTCTGAAATACCTGAGCAAAGTCAAAGTATTTCTGTATAATTGCCTCCCAGAACGGTCTTACATGACAGCATTCCCAAACATCCACCTCTGAAAGCAATGACCGTATTTATTGTGTTTAGTCTGCAAGTAATTTATTATATATAAAATTATTATATTAATAATATAATATTCTCCTACTTTTTTTATGATATTTAGAGCCAGTTTATCAGGAAGGGATGATTTTGTTCTCTTTGACTAGTTGGATGGAAACTTTATTCGCAAATGTTTATGAGATATTCCAATTCCAGTTAAATTCACAGTTTTGGATAGAAACATGGTTCATGCCATTTTCTGTGGTCAAGGACAGATGTTTTAAGATAATTTTTTGAACACATAAAATCCTGTTTCTCACGTATTGGCAAACATTTGTCAAGAGAGTGTGTGCTGGTGTATTGATGAGGGAATAAACGCTGCTTTCCTGTTCTTGGCCCAATCTTACCTTCTGCTCTGTGCACCAGCGTGGACAGTAAGCGATTCATTTTTTTCCACCGATGCAGTTGAGTTGTTGTGAGTTTGATCAATAACTTGAAACTTTCCTTCCTTCTAAGATGTGCACCCCAGCAAAGCTTGGGTATGCAACTTGGTTTTGCCCTCAGACATCCCCAACCGTCTTAAGGACCTTACAACTTCTATGTAAAAGGCATTTAATATTTCAGATTACCCTAATGTACAAAGACATGTAACTCAGGGGCTATTTTTCACCTTGAACTCAGCACACTTTATAGAGTGTAACCAATTGGTTGCATCATGATGCTAGGAATTAAGAAGTAGTAGGCTAGATTTAGAAAAAGAGTTACAAATTTAGAAAAACTGAAATAAGCAATGAAAGTTCTTTGTGATGTTTTTATTTTTTACCTTTTTCATGTAGAGTTGATTTAGCATATGAG